GGGTTATTATTTTGGATCTTCTTCAACTTTGATTCTGAAGATTTTGGTTCATCTATTTGGTGATTTGTGATTATTTGGAATTCAGTTAAGGGTGGTTTTGTGAGACCATTAGTGTCTCGTTTGTAATCGTTTGGAACTTATTTGGTTGATAGTGGAATCGGATTTCGATCCAGTGGATGTACCTCACATTGAGGAAACCACGTAAAAATTCTTGTGTTGCTTTTGATTTAATTTTTCCGCATTAGTTTTTATTCCCGTTGATTGATTTACTTGTGGGAAATCACATATTTTCCCTAACAGTTTTGACATAATTGCATAGCATGGCAATCATTTTTATATGTTGGGATCAATGTTACAAGGAAACACTAATTCTCTAGCAATTTTCTTTTTGGTATACATATTCTAAAACATGGTTATACTTTTGTTCTAAAATGGTGAATTTACTGATTCAAGGGAACTCCCAATTTATTAATTTTTTTTTTTGCCAATATATTTTTCTTAGGAGCTAGCAAAGAAAAACAAATGTAATGAACTAAAATATAAGCAGAGTGGAGTTTTGTCATTATATATATGTCATAATGCTCATGGAAATGTATTTCACATGATTAATTTGAAAGAAAAAAAAATCATGTGAAAATACATTTGGGATAACTAAATGTATTTGATGTCTGATTGCTAAAAAGTGTTGTAAAAATAGATTAAATTTCTATAGTACTGGTTTATTCTATCACATATTACAGCATATGGCATACCATGTTCCAAGTAATAGAGGTTGGGATTAACATTTCGCAGGGAACCAGCAGACCAGCTCATTATCATGTTCTCTGGGATGAGAACAATATTAGTGCGGATGAGATCCAATCTCTGACGAACAACCTATGTTATACGTAAGAGTAACCTATGTTTTTACCACAAGGCACTCATCCTTTCACAATGACTAATCTGGTGAACTTTTTTGTTGTAGATATGCTCGGTGCACTCGATCTGTTTCTCTAGGTAACCTTTTAACTCTTCCCTTATATAGGAATGATAGTAATGCACATGGTAGAGCCTAAACTTTGTGTCAATGTATTCAATCATGTAAATTTACATGTTTCGTGCAGTGCCACCCGCGTATTATGCTCATCTGGCAGCCTATCGAGCTAGATTCTACTTGGAACCACATGTGCATGAGAATGCTTCAATGCGTGCTACTCGTACAGTTAATGGTCCATGCATCCGCCCACTACCCGCCTTAAAGGAGAAGGTGAAGAATGTGATGTTTTATTGTTAGAGATAACAAAGAAGAAGTACAACATAAGAATCAGAGGGAAAAAATGGGTGAGAAATTTGTACATGAATGTTGTGTTTAAAGATTGCAAAGAGATGATGTGTCACAAGTTTTGCAAGTTGTGTCAACAAGATTTTGTTGCTAGTGTAATTTTTAGCTCAAAAAGTTCAAAATGTGGAATACAAAATTCTGAAGTGTTCACAACCAATATCTTCAAAAATGAATTGTTATCTTAAAGCATTTCGATTTTCAACTTCAACTTCTCTCAGCCTACAAGTCTAATGGTGGCTCTTATAATGCAATTAAACCACGATTAAACGGCATAAGTATGTTAATAATGGTACTGTAAATTTTGAAGGAGCTATTTTGTTAATCATAAGTAACTTCCAAGTGCAGATAATAAAAGAGCATGCCAGAACAAAGAAAGGAAGAAGAGATATAATCTATTTATAAACGAAACATATTGATAATTTCATTTCTTTTATTTCATTAACAAATGGCTTTTAAACTTCTGTAGAATTCTGTAAAATTCTCAAGCCTAGCCGGTCCATCGGCATCTTCGCCCACGAATTCTTGAATTACAAAATTATGAATTCTTAAACCTGAACCAAAATTACAAATTAGTTGTATTAAAAAAAAAAAAAACCCACTGATTACAATGATTCTTTTAATTCTTTACCTAATCAATGTTATGGGGAAGATGTTCTCACATGATTCTTTCTTTTGTTTAATTATGATTATTTTTTTCTTGGATAGAAATCATTTTATTGCCATCTTTAATCAACCATCCAAGGGACCAACGATCAATAATTATTATATGTTCTTGTAATGTTTTACCTAATCAAGGTTATGGAGCAAATGATCGTACAAGACCTTTTTTTTTTTTTTCTTTTTCTTTTGTTTATATGTGTTCGGATGAGGCTATTTTTGATTGAGTTTGGTGTTGCACACTTTGTTGGGCCCATTTTAAGGCTTAATTCGATAATCTAAACCGTTCATATTTTAGAAGTTATCGAGTAAAATATATCAATAAAAAATCACGTCAATCGAATATCGTTAACTATTTCATCAAATCACATTTGCATTAGGTTTTATATTTCAGATTACATTTATTTTATTTTATTTAAATATAAATGTGATTTGATGAAAATACCAACGATATCCGATTGACGTGAAATGCAAAATAATCAAACCACAAAAAAGGTAAAATAGATTTTATCCAAAATATAATAAAGGGAGATGTTACAATGTGCGTTCTCAAAAATGTGCATATAGTATGCTTTACATAACTTTTTCACAAAATTTAATAACTTAAACCCAAAATGTCATAACTTTTTCACTATAAAAATTGTAACTTTTTTTCCATTGAAAAATATTATAACAAAATTTCAAAGTGTCATAACAAAAATCACAAAATGTCATAACATTATCATTCTTAACTTTAAGGTGCGCATCATAAATTCCCTATTTATAATTTTACTACAAAATGTCATAACATACATTACAAACAATCATAATATTCATTATAAAAAATCATAACTTTTTTACAATATACACCATTTAAAAGAGTGCACATTGTAAATTTCTCCTATAATAAAATCAATTTTTTTTGAAAGTTACTGTTGGCTTCATCCCTTTTTGTGTGCCAAGCGGAATACATGCAAGAACTAAGGCCTCGTTTGGGAACTCTTTATTTTAGCCAAAAAGTAAAAAAGTTACTAAATTAGTCAAAAAGCCAACCACCCATACCAAAAAGTCAAAGATTGTCTTTTCTCTCTACTTTTCGCACACCTTTTTGTAAAAAGTCAAAACGTCATCCCAAACATACTATTTTTTTTAGCTCATATTTTAGCCAAATAGTCAAAAAATTACTAAATTAACTTGTTTCCAAACGGAGCCTAAATACCATTTTAGAGGGAAATGGCTCTCAAATCAAGAAAAAATAAAACCTTAAATTCACAACAAAAATAAAATAAAATAAAATAAATTACATGATTATTTATAATAACTTAAACCTTGGAGAACGAGTAATTTTGGTAACTGAAAAAATCTAAAAATAGGAAACAAATGACTAGTCAGGGACGAATTTACTGTAAGACCAGGGGTCACATGTCCCTGGATTTTTGAAAATTCTACTAGTACCCTAATATATATAACATATGTCTTATATATCCTTTATAAAATTGTAATAGTGTCTCTCTATTAAAGATTTTATTTCTAATTAGAAAGATCCTACTAAAATAAGTCATTCTATCATACACTCCCCAAAAGGGTGTATCATATACAAGTTATGATAAGTTTTATAACCAAATCATTTTCAATTATAACTAAAATGACCACAAAAAATAATAACCAAATATCATATCTTTGATCATAACCTAAAAATAATCTCAATAGATCATAATTAAGTCATAATATTAACATCACAATGAGTTATAATCAAGGTTTATAACCAAAATAACAGCCATAAGAAATCATAGTTAAGTTATAACAAATAACATAATGAGTCATAACTAACACCAAAATGTGTCATAACCTGTCATGCCCGTATTTTAGAACCTAATTGACATTACCAATCCATCATCATAATTCCTTTTTATAAATTAGAGTGCGGAAGCTACAATATTAATTTAAATAAATACTAATAACAGTCCTCTCTCGCATGCATGCGCATGTTCATTAAGTACAATACATTTACAAATGCCCTTACATGAACATGAATGAGAAAGGTATAACCCTCGTTACAAAAATATATCATTCATTCCACAAGTAAAATTAAATGATGCCAAATCATCGGAAAGAGAGCATCTCAAGCTCGAACACAATCTTCTAAACATGTACTTGAAAAATGTTAAACAATGTGAGATGAACATATAATCCAGTAAAAATCCCAATAATTCTAATCAATATAATCCTATACATGTATATGATCATGATACTCCACATGATATGTACTTAATATGTTGTCTTTCAAAATCCAAAATAAATATACACAAGTAAACATTGTTCCTAGAAAGTACCATTCATTAACATTTCATTTCACTCTTTACAATTTGAAGAATTTTAATAACTTGCATAATTAAAATAAATTCCAAGCACACATCTAACAGTCCGCAACAAAGATAATCTCAAAGAGCTACCTACTAATCCACAATTACTACTGACGTCATTTCCACATTTACTGGTCATATGTCTAGAAGAGCAACGATTATCTATTACTAAAATAAAATATCACAATCACATACATCAATTTCGACTTTGTCAAGCCATCATGACACAGTTTACTAGGAGCTAACTGAAAGGACACTGGAACGTGTCTCAACGCGCCACACTTTACCCGTTGTTAGCCAGAATGAAACGGAACCTCTATATAGCTCAACAATACATGCTTTACCGGGCGCCAACCGGAATGAAACAAAATTTATCTCAATGCACCACGCTTTATCTAGTGCTAACTGGAAAGAAACGAAACCTCCATTTAGAACTTTTGCCCCAAGTATCAATATCAACCAAATATTACAAATGTAATGATATTATAAAGAGAGAGGAATGAAGAGATAAGAGAAAATTCTTGTATTCAATTGATTAAATGACACAATGTACAAGACTTCTTTATATAGGAGGAGACAAACCTAAATATGGAAAACCTAACCTAAATATAGTAATGTTGTAATTATGGTAAATACAACAGTATACAGAATATATACTATATTTAACTATCCTCTCAAGCTTAAGGTGGTAATGCATATAACAACTTGAGCTTGGAAAGTAAGTCAGAAAAGCGTCTTGGGGGATGAGCCTTGGTAAAGATATCTATTGTCTGATTAGCAGAGGTAACAAAGAGAAGTCGAACAGTGCCACTAGTAACATGTTGTCGTATGAAGTGACAATCAATTTCAATGTGTTTGGTGCGATCATGGAAGACATCATTATGTGCAATCTTAATAGCACTCTGATTGTCACAGTAGAGGTTAGTAGCAGTAGGATGAGAAATCCCTATGTCAGAAAGAAGCCATCGAAGCCACACAAGCTCCTGAGTAGTGTCAGCAAGAGCACGATATTCAGTCTCAGTACTAGAACGAGCAGTAAGAGTTTGCTTCTTGCTACGCCAAGCAATGGGAGAGTCACCCAAGAAGAAGCAGAACCCTGTAGTAGAGCGGCGATCAGTAGGGTCCCCTGCCCAATTCGCATCAGAAAATGTATGTAACTGTACGGAAGAGTGAGCGGAGTTGTGAAGACCATGAAACATAGTTCCTTTGAGATAGCATAAAATGCAAACTAGAGCATCATAGTGTGGAAAGTGAGGAACAACCATGAACTGACTAACAATGTGAACAACATAAGCAATGTGTGGACGAGTAACCATGAGATAGACAACACTGCTAACTAGCTGATGATATAAAGTAGCATTAGACAACACGTGACCATCAAGAAGGGTGAGACGAGTCTGAGGGTCAATGGGAGTAGAGGCAGTCTTGCAATTAGTAAGACCAACATGAGCCAAGAGATCAGAAGTATACTTGGCCTGGGAGAGAAAGTTACCAGACGGATCATGAGAGATTTCTAAGCTAAGAAAATAGTTGAGAAAACCCAAATCCTTCATCTCACATTGGCGACTGAGAAATTGTTTGAGACTAAAGATATCCACTGTGTCATCTCTAGTGATGATCATATCATCCACATATAGAAGACGAAGAATAGTACCATGCTCTGTCTTACGAATAAAAAGGATAGAATCATAGGCACTGGAAGAGAATCCAAAGGCATGAATGGTGGAGCTAATCCTGGCAAACTAGGCACGAGGAACTTGTTTCAAACCATACAAAGCACAACGAAATTTGCATACTTTGGAGAATGGAATAGAGGAACCACGAGGAGGTTCCATATAAACTTCCTCATTGAGATCTCTATTGAGAAATGTATTCTTTACATCCATCTAACAAAGTGTCCACTGGCGAGCAGCAGCAACGACAAGTAAGCTACGAACAGAAGTTAGACGGATAACAGGAGCAAAGGTTTCTTCATAGTCAATCCCATATTCTTGAGTAAACCCCCAGGCAACAAGACGAGCTTTGTACCACTCAATAGAACCATCAGAATGAGTCTTGAGCTTGTAAACCCATTTGCAACTAATAACACTTTTGCCAGGAGGAAGATCAACCATATCCCAAGTATGAGTTTTATCAAAAGCCTATAGTTCATCTGTCATAGCTTGCTGCCAAAGAGGGTTAGAACAAGCCTTTCGATAGAAAGTAGGTTCATGAGAAGAAAATGTAGTAGAACCAACAATTGAATCACAAAGAAGAACAGAAGGTTGTGTTACTCGAGTAGAATGATGAAGAGGTACCTCAGAAGCAGGACCAAGAGGCGGAGTAAGATCCTCAGGATGGGTCGGAGGCAACATGGCAGGACTAGGAGTAGGACTAAGAGCAGGATCATGGAGTGAAGCATCAGCAGGACCAGGAGGTGGAGCAGGATCCTCAGGATGGGTCGGAGGCATGACAGAAGTAGTGTTTGTATCAAGCTCATCAAATAAAAGAGAGGGATCTGTGAAGATTGATGTAGTGGGAGGAGTGAATAAATGAAACTTAGATATAGAAGAAAACACCTTGTCTTCCCAAAATACCACATGACGAGAGACACGAAGACATTGAGAAATAGGATCCCAACAACAATAGCCTTTATGTTCAATTCCATACCCCAAGAAGCAACACAAATGGGCTCGAGGTTCTAATTTGGAACGCTTATGTAGTTGAAGGAGAACAAAACAAGCACATCCAAACACACAGAGACGAGAATAAATACAAGGCTAGCCATATAAGCACTCATATGGGGTGTGATTGTTGATGGTAGGAGAAGGAACATGGTTGATAGTATAGGCAACTGTAAGAGCGGCTTCCCCCTAGAAGTGCTCAAGACAAAAAGAGGAAATTAAAAGAGCATGGACAGTGTCTAAAAGATGGCGATGTTTATGCTTAGCACGACCATTTTGTTGGGAGGTACTAGGACAAGAATAGTGAGAAAGTGTGCCATTTTGACGAAGGAATCACAAAAAATTTGTTTCTTTGTATTCTTGGGCATTATCAACATGGAAAACTTTGATAGTGGAAGAAAACTGAGTTTTGATCATTTGTGATGGGGCAACCACGAATGATAAACCAGAGGCAACTGTAGTAGATGCAAAATGAGCGGAAGACTGATCTTGACTGTATATTGTATATTGTGGAGGGTCCAGAATAACTACTATGTTGAGGATAATTGTCTGAACGAGCCATGAGGTGATTAAAGAATGAATCACAAAGGAGAACTAGTGATGGCGAAGTAGAACTAGATAAAACAGAGTTCACCAGTGAATCCGGAATGTCGAAAATAGTCAAAACAAGTCAAAAATTGAATTTTGGCAAAATAGGGTGTAATGTTAACGCCAGCAGAAGGGAGGCTGACGTTAGCAGAGGCGCAACTCACATTAACATGGCTGGGGCGCGGTGCAGTGTAGCAAAGAAGGCACGACACACGTTAGCAGTTGACAAAAGCGGCGGTAGATGTTGAACAGTAGGGCTGACGTCATGTTGAGGTCAGCAAGACGCATTAAGATACGTGCGTAGGAGCATGACAGATCAAACAAATGCTCTAGAGCACGTGTCAGCGTGTGTGCACATGGTGATGCTGAAAATGACGCGCCGAGGCTTCTGGATGCCCGTAAGGGCGTGTTAGAAGTGATTCCGGTGCCAGTTTGGTGGTGACAGATTCGTAGAGTGATGAGAAAGGTCTCTGTGCCAGTTATATTTGGGTTTTAGGTAGACAAAACTGGGAACAAAGATACACAAATATTTGAAGGAGAACGTGGTGCGCCAGAGGTGGTTTGGAACAGCGAAAAAATAAGATGGTGCGCCGGAGGCGACTTTGGAAGAGAGCATTAGCTTTGATACCATGTTATGATATTATAAAGAGAGAGGAATGAAGAGAAAAGAGAAAACTCTTGTATTCAATTAATTAAATGACACAATGTACAAGACTCCTTTATATAGGAGGAGACAAACCTAATTATGGAAAACCTAACCTAAATACAGTAATGTTGTAATTATGGTAAATATAGTAGTATACAGAATATATACTATATTTAACAACAAATTTCTCAAATTGAACCCATAACAATACATAACACATATTTGGATTCACTTGAATCAAGCTTTATCAACAAATATTTCCAAAAGGACAAAGCAATAAACATAACTTCCCAACCAAATATCATTTTATTTCCTTTTGTAATCAAAATTTCTCATGAACACCAAAGATCTTCACGATTTTCTGAAACCTCGTTTTGACCAACTTCATCCACATTCAATCATACATTTCTAATTAAAAATACAAACACATAATCTCAATCATTCCTATTTACTGACCAACTATATAATTCCCAAGTAATTGATACAACATAACCACCATTTGTAATGCCAACTATGGTGGGTAAAAATCAAACCACCAAGCTGTGGCTGGCAATGCTTCAGCAATTATTGAATTGTATGTAACCTAAAATCACTTAAAGAATATGAAGGGTTTGGCTGGGAGCAGCCTGGGGACTCTCTGTTGCTTAACTTAGTAAACTTGTATGTAAAAGAGCAAAAATATTGAGTGTAAATGTGAGTAGAATTGATTGTGTACCTGAACCTTGCGTGTTCCATGTATTTATACTCAGCTCCCACTAGCTGTTGTGGCTCCCTTCACTTCTCATGTCAATCCCATTTCTTTAGGGATCGTGTCCCACTAAGCACAGATTTCTAGGAGTTAGTTGGGCCAAGAATTTAGGAACGCGCCTTAAGGGTGTGCTTCCTGATCCTCTGATCCTGGTCCTATATGTTTGGACCTGGACCCAGTTTCTTAGTCGTCTTTTTGAACCTGGACCCCTGATCCTAGACTTTCAGTCATCTGGATCTGTTGTTCTACTATTCTGGTCTTGGGCTTCTGGTCTTGCTCTGTCATGGCTCATTTTTGCCTCCCACACCAACCGGTCTCACAAGTTTCATTAAATCATTTACTTACATTCTCGTATAATTCTTATAACAAAACATTTGTAATTTCATATACGTTAATTTACAACATTTTTAAAATTTTCAAAATCTCAATCAATTTGTTCAAAATACATGCTCTCAATTCTTACCATTTCTTTGATTAATAATATTAATTTCAACTTTTCCAAAATGATCTAAAAATTTACAATTTCACCAATTCACGTAATGTTAGAAAATTAGGGTTTTCTTTGAATAATTAGGGCTTTTCCATCTCAAGCTTTCCATACACTCCAATATCTACTGAACTCAATTTAGATAAAGAAAATGTCAAGAAATATCTAACACAACGCAAACCCTAACTTCTCATAAAACATGTTTTGAAAAGCCCACAATATTCTACAATTTATGAGGACTGCTGAAGAAAATACTTGAAAAATAGTATTTTATTCATAAAATATTACAAAAAAAAAAAAGAGATACAAAAAAATCAAGCTGAGGCATGGATATGTCATTTTGTTTAAGGAGATCAAGCCCACTACAGTAGGAAAAACCCAAAAACTGGTGTAACAGTCACCAAAATTTGATTTGTCCCCTCTAGAATACAATAGCCCGACCACTTATTGTATGGTTTAGGCAAACTCTGCACAAGATGGTGATCCTAAAGCTCCACCGGTAATAAACACCCTTCTTTCGCTAGTAATCTCTCAAGTGTAGAAATGTTGGTGTAGAATGAGATTATTTATAGGCTACATAGGTCTATGTAAAATAAACAAAAAAATAAAAATAAAAATCCACTAAACTAGAGTAAGGGGGGATTCCCTATAACCCGCAAAACTTACTCACCACCATAGCCCATAACCTTCCAAAACTCCTCATCATGGATCAAACAAAAGGTCAAAAATAAATAAATAAATAATTATTTAACTAATAATATCAAAATGGTCCAACAAGGACAATATTAAAAGAAATTAGAAAAATCCCTACCTCTTGAAGAGAAGAAAAAAACCAAGAAGAAAATTCCCCAAATTCGAACTCGTCGGATTTTTGATTGCTCCGGTCAAAATGACGTCCTCGACACATACGCTCGCCATTTTGGTCTAAAGAACTAGTATCAAAATCTTACTTGATATTGTTGGATTCAAAGATTTGTGATGTTGGTGGAGGTTTTGTAGATAGAATGGAGAGAAAAGATATATATATATATATATAGAGAGAGAGAGAGAGAGAGAGAGAGAGAGAGTTGAGAGAAAAATGAGAGGGAGAAAGATAGGATCAGAAAAATAAAGAAAACACTAGGTTGAGAAACAGTCATGTCGTTGCCTGCTGACACTGGCCACTAGTACGGAGCTTGCCGCCGTTCGAGAAGTGGCCAACCACTTTTGCGGTGCCTTCCCAAAACTCCACAGCTCCTTGGCCACTCATACGGCCCAATTTCGCTACTCTTGCGGCTAGTTCCTGAACATGCTCAACTGTAAAAGTGTTTATATGCCTCTGTTTTTTGTCCTTATGCCCTGGAATTTTTTTTTTCTAACTTGAGAGTCAGTATGGGAAAGTTAGACAGAGATCACCGCTCAAACATTAACATGATACAAGATGCTCAAGGCCTGAAAAAAGTCGACGAGTCCGAAAATGTAATAAAAGGGAGAAAGACGTGGGGTTGGAAGACATACATCACACACACGCACACTTATTACAGTTGTGCCCTCGCTCAGAGGGTCCGAAAGAATAATACAGTCCGAATGAATAATACAGTCCAAATAAATAGTACAATCTGAATAAATACAAAACCCTAATTAATTAACAAATTAATCTAGGAAAGTAGGTAAATTGGCACGCAAATCCATGGACTGCCTCAGCTCTGTTCCAAATGGTGAATGATGCATGCTCGAGTTGCCTTGCGTAGAAATCCATTACGATGCCCCGGCTT